GGATTACAAATAGATTTCAGAAATTAAATTTCTCAATTCAAAACTCAATACGCATTGATAAGAAAAGTACCTCATAATCAACTTGAGATTGATTATTCGGCTGTTGTTTTGTTAATTCAACAACTGCTGACTCAGTATCGAAATCCTGTTGTTGTTTCGACTTGTAAGTGGCTGGTAAAGGTGACAATGGTGATAAACTTGAACGTGTGGCATGAACTGATGATATCTTGTTATCACTCATCTCATCATTGGCTCGAAGTGATGGATCATTTGCCAGTGTTTTGGGACCATTATTACGAGTTTTTGAGTTTGTCGAGTTCATTGGGTTCAGTAGTGGTTCAGGTTCCAAGCTGCCAGACTTCATAATTGTTTGTAAATTCGAATCATTGGTTAGATCAGGAGGTTTTTGTTGAGATCGATCATAGTTTGGAGTAGTTTCGTCGGATTTTGACTGTGCTCGTTGACGTCGTCTTGAGTTTAACGAAGTTGATGGTGGAGGTGTACGACTTATAACTGCAACTTGGAAGCGATCAATAGACGGACGTTGACGCAAATTTGAAGAGAATCTCTCGGATTCGGGTAACAGTGGTTGAGGTGTGCGAGCGATCAGACTCGGCGTTCCTGGAATTCGAGTGGAGGATCGACGACTTTGCAAAATCATGCGCTCATCTTCGGATAGTTCACTGGCTGAAAAAGCGCGTTGAGGTGCTGAAACGGATAACTTTCGATTCCTTTGAGTGCTTCGCTGATTTTGTCTCACATCTTCATCGTCTGCAAAACGTACTGTCGCCTTTTTCTTCGCCATTCTTGTCAGTTCATTCGCAAAAATTTGGAGTACTGCTGAAATTATGAAAAATACTGAGTGAGATATTGAACGAATGGAAGAATTTTCAATTGATTTACTTCGGTGCAACGAAATGATTTTAACGATGTTTAGAGCGACTGTCCAAGGGCAGAAGCTGGTCGCTGTGAAATGAAGGGAGCAAGTATGATAGAAACTGATGCTGCATCATATCAGGCAGGCACTCGCTCCTATTGTTAGCAGTAAACTTATAATAACAATCCCATTTTACAGTTCGAGGAAACCCGGAATTTTTTGTCACAACTGAATGAATTCCGATGGTTTTAGAACTGATTCAG